CCAGAATAAGACCATGTGTAACCTGGGTTTATCGATGGAATTTTCAATATTTTCTTCAGTTACGGGAAGGAAGAAGGAGGGAACAGATCCGTTCTGTGGCATAACAGTGCTTAAAATCACATTCATGCAAAAACACGGTTATGGCACCATTTGAAGTCCATAATCTTCTTCTAATCACCATAACTCCACACAATAGTACGCATCTAATTGCCAGCTCGTCAAGAAGTACCGAACACTGTCAGGAAAAGAAACAGTTGGAATCGTTCTGCTAGAAACTTCAGAATTTGTTGACGCATCTGTCAGAGTTGCAAAATCACTTCAATCAATCCTTTTCTGTCTCTTCAATTGATGCATCTCCTAGGCTTGGTCATGGAATTCTATTTTTCAATGATACGGCAGGATCTAGTCGCACAAAATGGCTTGCTCCCCTGGTTGAACGTATTTCATCCTTAACTCCCCCATTTGATCAATATTACCGTGCGATGAACAAGTTCACACATCGCATCACACCCGTGCAAACCCTAATCCATAATAATAGATATAGCCTGAGGCTTTCACTATTACCGTGGATTAAGATTTGCATGGGATCCCGAAGTCCCGAGGAAGAGCCCTTCGTGACTTTAAGTATGTTGTTTGCTGTTATTTACTTTATTGTTGTTTCAACTTTATTATTTAAGCGTCATTCATTGCTATAGAAAACCCTTGTCTAACTTCTTAAGTATGTGTAGCAAAGTGATGCATTCATCATAGGAAATGTTGCACCTGGGAAGACGCATAATCTCTTAGAAAATGCAATATCGCACAGGTAACAAGAGAGGAAATCAAACAAAATACAACCAAAGACATATGCGATGTGATCAATGGGCGCAGACAGTGACCTTCTTATAAGAAATCTTAGACTTAAAAAATTTTGCTCATTTTGTTGGCTAAGAGAAGTGAGAGTTCAACGACAAAAGTGCCATATCAAGATTATAATCATTTTGATTTTATGGTCATACGGATAGGCAAAGATATAGTTTTCTACCAGTAATATTGTTACGTTTATTCCCTTACATTATTAATTTTCTTATTGTAATTGCCATCGTTATTCCCGTATTGATAGATCATCATTATGTTACCATTCTCTTATTACATGTTCAATTATGCATAATCCTTGTTATCATCGGACAGAGAGGATGTTCATAGAGAAATATGTGTATTTTCGAGGAAAATCATAGAAATAAATATATTTCCGAAGTTAAGTTATCATATAATTGCAAAGGAGATAACATGTTGAACAATGAGTCTCTTAAAATGAGAATTTATTACAATAAGAAACCTGTACAGTTATAACATAGTATAGTAGAATATTTTTACACCGTTTTTATGCCTGATATAATTAATTACCTTTGTATAACATCTTATTTATTATAACATTCATTTCATTCATTTTGATTTTTTGCTCACTTTTTAGGATAGAGAGCGAGTGAATGTTTTGTGCACTAAACACCAGAATATGTGACCAATAAATTATTAGATGAATAACGAAATGATGAAATATATCGAAGATGATCCCGTTTGCGAACAGTTAGACTGGAGAACTTAGAAGTGATGCGGCGATGAGCACTTAAGCCGTTCCATCGGTGAGTGGAAAATCGCCGATTCCGGGTGATGTTTTGATGCGATACACAACTCGATGGTCTTGAACCACGGGCATACCGGCCTCATCCACTACTGTCGACCACCACGGGGAACGTGCTGATCTGGCGAGCACGGCTGCATTCTCGTGTTCAACGAACTTGATTGGATACAAACCGAATTCAATCACCTTCAAACAAAGTTTTTTGATCGATCGTTAGGAGGATCCGTGTCGCAGGATATACTGATACCGTTGTAC